GATAAACGGTTGTCTTTCAAAATCCCTCTGCACGCAATAGGATAGCACTACAACCAACCAGAGCAACGAACGGCTGTGGCTGAGTGAGTCCCGTTTTCCCCCCAGCGGAGCTAATTGATATAAACTTTTGACGTATCCAGTCGTCAAAACTCCGAACACATCTTCCTTTTTTAAGAATGACTTAAGTAACGTTCTCTTAACTCCAAGTCCTCCAGAGTCACGGCCAAAGCCGATTCGAAAGACCGCTGTTCGCCAGCAGCATCTTCTTTGTTTTCAAGTAGCAGGGAAATCACCTATGGAAATCACGCGGAAGCGTCACAACTCTGCCGTCATTATGTTAAGCCCGCCCACCAACTCTATGTGATTGGCCTGACCAGAGTTTGGTTTTTCCAGCTCGAATGCCAACGGAGAGTTGCTAGACCACACTGGCTGCAAAATAATTTTTGCTGCCACTAGGGTGCGTCTAGATTTCTAAGTTAGAACTCCCTCACACTCTAGACTACAATTCCCAACATTCCTCCTGCTCATCACCTGCACTTACTCAGCCATGATCTGCACCTGCACCTGATCAGCACACTCATCAACACAGTATTTAAGCACACAACTCAGTCACACACACATTAGCTGTGTCCCAATGTGAAGGCTGCATCCTCCAAGGCCGTATTTGAAGGCCGATTGCGTCACAGCGGCACAACAAAGGATGTCCCAATTCAAAGGCTGCACCCTCCGAAGGTCGCATTTAAATGCCAATTGCGTCACCGCGGTGCAATGAAGGCTGTCCCAATTCAAAGGCTACACCCTCCGAAGGTCGCATTTCAAGGCCGATTGCGTCACCGCGGTGCGATGAAGGCTGTCCCAATTCAAAGGCTGCACCCTCCGAAGGTCGCATTTAAAGGCCGATTGCGTCACCGCGGTGCGATGAAGGCTGTCCCAATTCAATTCTGCATCCTTCGAAGGCTGTATTCGAAGGCCGGTTGCGTCATTGCGGCGCGACGAAGGCTACCCTGATTCAAAAGCGACGCCAAATGCACCCTTCGTTTCCCCGTGAAAGAGAGGATACATAAATGGATCCTTAGCGGCTTATCCTACCCCATAAGTCATTGTGCGCCGGTGACAACAGCATTTTTATTTGAAAAAATGGCGGCCGAGAGTACGGTGGATGACGGCAAATTCACATTTAAATGTAAGTATGTTTTCATTTACTTCAATACCTAGCGAAGCCAGAGTTAAAAGTCACAAGTTTTTCTTATAAACTTCATCTTAACTCCTTCATCACCATTGCGTGGCTTCATTTGTCAGGTGGTTTGAGGCAAAACTTGTGCTAATATTAGTTTAATAATTGTTTCAGGGAGCAAGGGGCAGACAACGCAATTTAGCAAATTGCGGTCTGAAAATGACCATTTATTTACCTGGGCGAAAAACTCCACCAGCGTGGCTTGGAGGTAAGACAACAACCTATTTGTAATATTTGCAGTAGTCTGTCTCACTTGTGTATTATAAGAAATATCACTCACCCTATAAAGCCCACAACAATAAGAAAAGCAGTAGATAAGGCAATGGGGTTTCACTTTTGTGTTTTTGTAGTGCTGTCATGCAAGATATGTCTACAAAGGTTTTTAACTACATTTGAGTTTCCAGAAATATGATTTCTGAAATATTTTCCTTATGTGTCATATTTTGCAGTGTTAACAATGCACTACTGTTAAGATTGCACCCCTGTGTTAAGTACCCTTTTCTGCTTTTTTAGAGCAATTCTGGAGAAAATGGGTCTGCTGGGGCAAACTCCCATGCAGGCAAAAAAAAAAAAAAATACAAAGTAAGAAAGCTAATACACACATCTTTGCTTAAATTTATTGTGCCGTCGTTGTTGTTAACAGGCATGCTTTATTTGCTCTGACGTAGGATTGGAAGTATCCAGGGACAGGTGAGGGAGGAAGTGAGTGGGAAACCCACTGCTGTTACTTGGCCATGGTTTGTCCTCATGGATGAGGTGTTGGGACAGAGGCACTCCACCAACCCCCCTGTCCTCATTGCTTCGATCCCTGAGGACAGACCAGGGCCAAGTTCAGCAGTGGGTGCCCACGGTGAGGAGTCCGAAGCACCACCACCACCACTAGCAGGACCCGCACCACCACCACCACTAGCAGGACCCGCACCACCACCACTAGCAGGACCCGCACCAGCAGTACTAGCACCACCAGCACCAGCACGGAGAAAGCGGGATTATGAGGAGGAAATGCTAAGTTTAATTAGAGAGGACATGGCCCTGCAAAGGGAGGCAGAGGAGAGGAGAGCTCGAGAGAGAAGGGAGAGGATGGACAAGCTGTTTGCTCTTCTTGAGCGAATGGTGGAGAAGCAGTAGTTTTATTTTATTTATTTAAGAGGAAACTTACTCGGTTACCTAACGTAACCTCTGTTCTCTCTAGATGAGGGAACGAGTATTGCGTAAGTAACTTACGCTACGGGTAAAGTTATCTTTTCTCGAGATCTGAAGCCAAAAATGATCCTTAATTTTTCACACTTTGTCAACGCAGTGCAGCAGGCAGCAGACCAAAGCAGGCTAAGGGAGCGTGCTTATTGGCTGCCTCGCAGCAAATGCAGCAGCCTATCCATGAGCCTGGCGTGATGTCACGCCCAATGAGGACACTCCGCACGTCACAGCCCGCTAAAAGGGGTGTGTCTATGTGTATAAAGGGGAGGCTCAGAGGCTGATTCTCTGGTTTTCTTCTATGAAGCGTGTGAATACGGCGCGCGCGCTCTGTTGACAGCCGCGCCGTCAGAGCCACAGAGTCCAGTTCTATACCCAGAAAAGAAGTAGACTGACTGGGCAGTAATGAGCTCTTGGTCCAGTTGACCGTGAGACCCAAGCTTTCCAGGTGGCTGAGAAGCACTGTCCTGTGAGAAATCAGCTCTTTCTCTGATTGTGCTAAAATCAACCAATCGTCCAAATAGTTCAATATTCGCATTCCCTGACTCCGCAGGGGGGCGAGCGCCGTGTCTATGCACTTCGTGAATGTATGGGGTGCTAGGGACAGGCCGAACGGCAGGACGGTGTACTGGTATACCTGACCGTCGAAGGCGAATCTCAGGAATGGCCTGTGACGGGGTATGATTTGAATCTGAAAGTAAGCATCTTTCAGATCGAGGGTGATAAACCAGTCTCCTGGGCGAACATGCGAGAGGATTTTCCTGGTAGTGAGCATTTTGAACGGTCTCCTCATCAGGGCTTTGTTCAAATATCTCAGATCCAATATTGGTCTGAGGGCTCCGTCCTTCTTTGGAACGAGGAAGTAACGGCTGTAAAAGCCCGACTCTCTCAGAGAAGGGTGCACCCTTTCTATGGCCCCTTTGCACAGAAGTTTTGCTATTTCTGCACGAAGTAGATGTGCTACTTCCCCATTCACTCTCGTCTCGAGATGCGATATAAAGCGCGGGGGACGGCAAGCGAACTGTAGTGTATAGCCCTTCTTTACTGTGCTCAGCACCCATTCTGACGCACCCTGAATAGCATCCCATGCTTTTGCATGTAAAGCTAGGGGCAGAATGGGCTCCGGGTTCTGATCGCCGCACTCTGCGGGCTTGAGAACCCGAATCGGAGGCGCTCGCGCTGAGCGCGCGCTCTCTGTGCTTGTATACGGCAGCTCGCACATAGCGATGGCTGGCCGTTTTATATGTCCCGGTGGCTTTGTACGGGGAACATATCGTGTGGTATATGGGGAATGACCGTGAAACAGAGCGGGCAGTGGGTAGGCGTGTGCACAGAGTTGTGGGCACGTGATCTACATCTAACACTCGAGCGGCATTTGCCAGCTTCATGAGAGTGGGCTCTGTGAGAGACACGGGATTTATAGTGCTTGTGTGTAGGGGTGAACACTGGGATGTGGGCACATTTTCTACACTTGAAACACATGTGGCGTGAGCCGTAAAACCAGGCTTTATGCTTGTAGACTTGGAATTAAAGCCTCTTTTGTTTTCCCGTTATTATTTGATTTACGGGACCGGACACCAGTTATCTTGCCAAGAAAGATTTTATTCTTATATGTCAGGAGAGAAACTTCAAGATGTTGTATTCATGCCAGGTCAATGCGTTTCCGTGTTTCTCTGAGGTAGTACAGTAAGATTGAGTTTTTATACATCACAGAGAGTCTTACAGCTTCCTTGTAAGGTAACAAAACATGTTGCTCTGAGCTTCTTAAAATTAGAACGTATGTCATACGTATACGTTATGCTTAACATGTCACAATTCACTTCCATATTAAGAACTATCCTTGTTGTTTACATCTGTGATACACTCACATCAGCGGAACATGTTACATTGTACACACCCTCTAAGCAAAATATATCTTCTCCCTGTCTGACATATGATCATCCCATGGACCCATGCTATCTATAGCCCCTCATGCATTCAAACTCATGCTTTTGAAACTTCATAAGATAATACAACTGATTATGAATATTAATAAAGAATAATAATACAGATACATAATATTTAATAATGAAATAATATTAAAAGATGAAATTTTGAATCTTCATTTCCCTCCACTGGAACTACGGCCGTCAGTTCCACACCATCATTCCCAGGTGGCCAACCTATAGAAGTGATAGTGAGGAGAAGAAATAGCAGACCAAGAAAATAGAAAGAACAGAACAGAAGAATGGAAACAGAAAAGGAAAAGAAAAAACAAAACAAAGAAACAAAAACAAAACAAAGAACAAAACCCCAACCCATGATATGTTCCCGTATACTATGTGTATTTTAATATCTATGTGTATGTATTTAAAATGAACCCCAGTCATCTAAGAAAAGAAAACTAATAAGTCTTCTGTCCGTGCCTGAACTCATTAATTAATTAACTCGTTAATTAATTAAATCCTCCAGTTCCGAACCAAAACAAGAAATTAAAATAAACGTTGATGTTAAAGGATCCTATCCCTTGGGGTTGAAAATCAGTAAACGGATGTTCATTGTTTGTGAGGTAGTGTAGAATGTGTAAAATCTCTTATTTCACGCTGTATGTCCCATTCTTAGTTCTATCCATTTGGTTAGAAATAATCAATTTGACAGGTTTGGTACTTTTCCTTCTAGTAACACATATAAGGACTTGGATTATTAGCATGAACACAGAAACTCCTACCATAGTCAAAACTATCCAATCTGACCATGATAAATTCCCTAGGATTCGTGGTAGTTTCCTCTCAGACATTAATTTAGCTACTCCATTTGCTACAATAACATGACCCATTGCTTGAATTCCCTCCTCTTGAGCTGCTTTTACACTCTTTTTAACTCTTCTAACCATTTCAAAGAGTTCATAATTCCGTTCTTCTACTAGATCATTATTCCACCATTGTGGCTCTATCTGCAACAATTGCACATGTGGAACATGAATTCCACCCAAGTGAAGAGGATAGAGAATCTCAAGGCAAAATGGATCAGGAGGAATTGGACACAACTTTCCCCCGTATATCATATTTTCACTTATTCCATCATGTAATATACACCACTGTGCTTCTGACACCTGCCATGCACCTGTGGCTTGATCTAAAGGAACTACTTCCCAAACAGCAGAACCATTAAGAGATAGACTAAACATTGTAGAGCATGAGCAAATTACCCACTCATGTTCCTCAACACAACAGTCTGTAGTAGAAATCATTGGTGTATCGCCGTCAGCCCAATATCCATTCCTTCCTAATCTAATTACTGAATTTCCTTGTCTAACACCCATTGATTGGAATTGCCTGACTGTCATAACATTGCGCTTCCCATATTGAGGCCATATCATAATCAAAGGTAACATTCCAGAACCTGACAACGAATTTTCATTAATAGCGATTTTAACTAATGGAATATGTTTAGCAGAAGTCAAATTAAGTTGATTACCGAAAACCACTAACAAAGATTCTGCTATTCGCTCAGGAACTTGTCCCATTCGAATAACTTGAATATCTTCTACCATTTGATCCTTTAAATTCTGAGCTAAAAATAAACACGCTGCACGATGTGTCTCAAAATTAGACGATTTTGTTAATGCATCTGCCAATTCCTTTGCAGCATCATTAAGATGCTGACCCGCTGCTATAATATGTAGAGAACCCTGAAGAGCCTCAGTGAGTCCTTTCCCAGACATTGTCCCCACCCACTGAGTATACTTGCTTAGTTGATTCATTTGAGCAGTATTACTAATTGAATTGACAGAACCAAATACCCCCGCTATGTCTCCCCATATACTTCGAGTTTTACGATTTTTACTACTCAGAGGATTTTTAGAGGTATAATATTTAACTTCTTTGTCCAACCAACTTCTTATTTGTGTAAAATTACCACAATAAGACTGATCAAAAACTGTAAGAAGAGAGTTCAAGTTATAATTAATTCGTTGTCGCACCATATGGGCTTCATTTATTAAGGTTTTGGTTTCTTTTGCCAACAAAATACCATGAGCTGGTGCAATAGTTGTATTTGGGCATGTTTGAGCTTTGTTTGACTTTACCGCAGAAAGATAAAAACACCTTCCGATTTCCCCAGTTTCTAGTTCAGTCTCACAATATTCATTCTCATCTTCTGAATGCCATACTCGTACATAATTTCCCTTGAATCTTGTTGTTCTTGAGGAAGCATCCCTCAGAAACCCTTCACATGGCAACACTATGGGATAAATACACCCTTGGGTCAATGAATCCCATATTGTAAGCATGTGGGTACGATTCAGAACTAAATTAATTTCCACATTAGTAGACGTTATGAGGTTTAACCCTATAACTTCACATTGTTCTTTGGAACAAATTTCTCGTCTTTGAGCACTACCAGTATACCCCCCGTCTTTTACCGGCCAAATTACTCTGCTTTTGTAACATTGGTGGTAAAAGTTACATCCTCCAAAGACGTCCTTACGATATTTAGCAAGGTCTTTATCATTGCGTGGCACCCAATCCCATAATCCCCATTTGGAAATAAAGGGTAGAGTAAAATGTTGGCCAGATTTCAGAGTTGCATTCCGAGTGATTTCTTGAACTCGAGGAGTCCATAAGGCTTGGCTTTCTTGATAAATGCCAAGTAAAATTAAAAATAAGCATACCATCGTCGTTGGGTATCGAGAATAACTTGCAACCATCTCTAATCAATGTCAATGGAATTGATTCCTGAAATGGAAGCAGAGAAATAATTAACATCACTTCTTTGTTCCCTTTTTTTAAAACTAATGGATGAACATTGCTCAATCTCAGGCCATAAGCCATCATTATCATCTTGTTCATTCACTAAGCAAGGTTTAACTTGTGACCAATGATACCATCTATCTGTTCCTACACCCTTCCCTTTGAGACAAACACTTGTATCAGTAGTTAGGAGTATCTCATATGGTCCTTCCCATCTAGGCTCTAAACCTTTCCTAGCAATTCGTTTGATCATAACAAAACTGCCTAACTCGGGAATGTGTGGAATGTCAGTAGTGGTATGTTTTTCATCCCATTGCTGTTGAGCTTCTCGCACTTTCTTATTATTGTCTTTAGTAGCTTTATCCAGCATTGCGAGATAGCGTCGTAACTTTTCTTGGAACAAAGTAGAGTCTCCTCCTGTTCCCGCAGGTGGCGGAGCATCAGGGGGTAGAACCATTGCTCTTCCAGTCATTAGTTATGGTTTTGATGTTCGTGTTGTTCAACAGTGTCACTATACTGTGTGGAGTGTGCAATATGATAGTTTGTGCTCCTATCAGATTCTCAACAGCATCCACTGCCCATGTGGCACCATCGAGGGCTTGTATACATCGTGGTTGCCCAATCATAGTGACAGGAATCTTTGAGGAAAAGTAACCAACTGGTCTGTATCGATCACCTGGTTTTTGACACAGTACTGCTGAATACGTCTCATCTCCTACCCTGGTCCACAAATGAAAATGCAACCGTCCGTCAGGAAGTCCCAAAGCTGGGGCTGAAGTCAGTTTTTCTTTCATAGAAGTAAACGCTTCCTCAGCTTCCGGTGTCCAGTTTATCTGTTCCACTCCAGGCTTTCCTCCCTTGTACAGGTCGATGAGGGGGCTGGTGATGCTAGCAAAATCAGGTATATACTGACGACAATAGTTGAAAAGTCCCATCACCTTCCGCATTCCTGTAACTGTTAGAGGTTTTGGAAGTTGTCGTAATGCCTCTACACGCTCTGTTGTCATTCTCCTTCCCTCCACAGATATTTCTTGGCCCAAATAGATAACCTTGGATTTGGCCAGCTGTGCTTTGTCGGGGTTAACTTTGAATCCCCCTTTCCTAAGGGCTTGTAGGACAACATTCAGAGCAAATACATGGCTGTTTTCATCTGGGCTTGCAATTAACAAGTCATCAACATATTGGAGGCAAACACTTCCTGATTTCTCAATTTCAGCTTTTTGCTCCGTTAAGAACTGGTCCAAAGCTCTATGAAATACAACAGGAGAAAGATTAAGACCTTGTGGGAGTCTGTTCCAAACATATTGTTTTGCCCCCACTGTAAAGGCTAATTTCTCTTGAGATCTTTTGTCTATAGGTATAGACCAGAAAGCCGACAGTACATCCAGTACCGTAAAAATTTTAGCATTTCCTGGAATATCATTCAGAATGGTGGCAGGATTGGCCACAATAGGATGCGGTTTTGGTGTTACACTGTTAAGTCTTGTGTAATCAATGGTAAGTCGCCATGAGTTATCAGATTTCTTGACAGGCCAGACAGGACTATTAGTGGTAGATGAAGTTTGTCTGATGATTCCTTCAGCTTCCAAGTCTGCCACTATCTCCTCCACGGCTCGTCTTGCTTCAGGTCGGATGGGGTATTGTTTATGAGGGGCATGTATCGGTCCCTCAATAACAATGGGATCAATGTTGGCTTTGCCACAATCCAATTTGTGTTTAGCCCAAACATCCGGATATAAACTGCACAGAAGACCCCACACACCGTCTTTTTTCCAGTTTCTGATAATTGGTTTTGCTGTACCAACAGACCTTAGATTACATGTGCGATCTTCGTGTGGTATTATCCCAGCAGTTGTAGCGATTTGACGACTGTCAGTGAATATGATCATGTTCAACAATGGAAGAATGTCCATGCCAATAAGGCTTCCTTGTGAATTCGGCCCAACCCAGAAAGATGTCCATAAGACTTCATCTTCATGTATTTGCAGTGGAACTTGAATACTTTTGCGAAATTTTGTGATACCTCCTCCAACTCCTTCAACTTCCATAGTTTCATCTGTTGTAGGTAGGTTCAGATCTGTTATTGAAATAGCTGCTCCTGTGTCAACCAGGATGTCACATGGGTGGCCCCCTATTAATGCATTGACGAAAAGGCGATTGTCTCTTTTCTTACTAATACAGGGGGCCGCTGATTCCTATTGCGGACGCATAATTCCCTCAATGAGCTGACGGACTTGTGCTTCAGTCCATGTCTTCCCTTGAGGGGTTTCATTATGGTTTTTTGCACTGACCTGTCTAAATGATGGACCTTGACCTTCTGCTCCACCTCCTTTAGCCCAACAATCTATGTTGGAGTGTCCACGCTTTCCACAGTTGCTGCAGAAAATCACCCTATTCTTTGTGTCCTTGTTGTATTGAGCTGTTGCCACTCCTCTTCGATATGGCTTGTTTCCTTCTTCTTTATTTGATCTCATAGCCATCTCTAAGCGGCCAGCCCATTGCATAATTTGGTCAAATGTCTCACCTGGGTTGACTCCAAGTGATAAGGCTTGTTGGTATTTTGCGCTAAGTCCATCCACAAGTGTGTCAGTGAACTGTACATCATCTCTGTCAGGTTGTTTCTTGGCACAGAGAGCCCATCTCTCATAAGCATTCCACTTACGTAGAGCATATTCATCTGGAGATTCATCATCCTTTTGCTTAATCAATGTCACTAATGTGAAAGGAATTTTACCACTGCCCAAGATTTCCTGGATTTCTTTTCGGAACACATCTAATGCTTGCCAAAGACCCAGGGGTCGTCCCTGGCTATCAACCCACAAATCTATCCATTGGGCGGTTGTTATCGACGATGGCAATCGTTCCCATCTGTCTCTTGGGATTTTAGCTTTCACAATGGTGTGTATGTCTCTTAATGACATTTGATGTGCTTCAATCAATGAGTCTAATTCTCGCCAAAACTCTGTGTTTGGATCTTGTCTCTTCAGAGGAGGCAAGGCTGTGAGAATGGCTTGACGTTCTCCTGGTGTGAATGGTCTCTCTTCTGTCATCATTTCAGATCCTTCCCTTTTAATTACAGGTGAAGAAAATTCAGGACCGATCTTGTCAATTGTGATCATGTCGTCATCTCTTGTCTCATCACCCCAGTCAGAATCATAATTCCGAGCTGGTGTACATCGGAGCATGTCTCTGTTTGGCTGAACTGTTTTAGATCTTGTTATTACCGGAGCTGCTTGTGCAGATGCAATATACATTTTGTCAACTGGGCCTCCAGTTGATCTCAAAGCTTGAGGCTGTGTCAGAGGTTTAGATGAATTTGTATATTGTTCAGGCAAAATTGGATAAATTGGGTTGTAAGGAGGAGGCGTTACAGTTGTTGCAGATTTCACTGGTGCTTGTGAATATTTCTTTTCAGCTTCAGTTATTATATTTGTCCAATCTGGATCAAATGAATCGTCATTGGTTGTATTTTCTCCATCTGAACATTTAATAGACATAATTTTGTTCAGTTTGTTATATGCTTCAATTTGAGGCTTCATTGCTTCAACAAGTGGGACTGGGCACCCATTGAAACCGCAACAAATTCCACCTTGTTTCAAAATCCAATGTGCGGCGAGGATTGGAAATACTTTTGACTTGATAGAGTCCTTTTGGGACTCAAGCCAGCTTAACTGTACATCAAGAGATGTGTTAATGTCCAGTCCTTTTTTCAAAAACTTAGCTTGCTTTTTCTGTTTTCTTTCTAAGTACCAAGCAGATATTGTTCTGCTATTAAATCCACTTTCTGCCATTGAAAATAATTTGTCACTCTGTGTCTGTGTGCTCAAACAGCAGGGCTATTTTTGTGAGTGAGTGTGTGTGGGGAGTGAATTCCAAAGGGAGGGGCTCTCTGCTTCCCTCACTCTGCTTTTTTCTCCCTCCACCTGCTCTAATTTCTCAAAGAACAAAGAAGGGGTTGGGGAAACAAAACAAAAAACAACTCTAATAATTTCTGTTTTCCTTTTTTTTTGTTTGTCTTAACTCAGATCAATTTATATATATATATATATATATGTATTTTAAAGTTGCTCTCAGATCAGTCTTTTCCTCCAAACACTGAACAGCTTTCTTGTCAAAATCAGAATGCATGCAATTTTAGCTTCTATTCCATTGATACCCTTCTTCTAAGGGTTCAATCCTCTGCGTATTTACGTTTTAGGGTTTATTGTATTTTTTTTTAATACTGCACTGTACTAACTTCAAGCACAGACCCGCCACTGTAAACCGCTATAAATCACTGCTTGTCAAACTATCCTCGTCTTCTTCTGAAACGATTCTTCGTGTATTGGATATATTTTAGAGATAAATCTGCCCTTTATCGCAGTTTCCCAATATTCCAACCACCTTACAAGCTAATTGCTAAATCGCCTTACAGCTTTTTCCAAAATTTGACTAAGATGGTCTTTTTTCTAAAAAAGATCCACTTTCTAAAGTTTTTTCAAAAATGAAAAAGACTTCCCCAGCATCATTCAATATTCAGAGGTTTACTGACCAGAGCAACTCAAATTAGCCACATCAAATTCTAATTATTATTATTATTATTATTATTTTTTTTTTTCTGACACATATATTCATTGGCAAAACAACTGGTACTTTAAATAACACAGTTCTTTTAAGCAGTTTCAGTCAATGTCTAATCATCAGGCAGACTTGGAATTATTTAGAATAGAAAAAGTCTTACCTTGAATGATTGAGACAAATGCCTGAAGATGCAATCCTGTTCGTGACGCCAAATGTAGACTTGGAATTAAAGCCTCTTTTGTTTTCCCGTTATTATTTGATTTACGGGACCGGACACCAGTTATCTTGCCAAGAAAGATTTTATTCTTATATGTCAGGAGAGAAACTTCAAGATGTTGTATTCATGCCAGGTCAATGCGTTTCCGTGTTTCTCTGAGGTAGTACAGTAAGATTGAGTTTTTATACATCACAGAGAGTCTTACAGCTTCCTTGTAAGGTAACAAAACATGTTGCTCTGAGCTTCTTAAAATTAGAACGTATGTCATACGTATACGTTATGCTTAACATGTCACAATTCACTTCCATATTAAGAACTATCCTTGTTGTTTACATCTGTGATACACTCACATCAGCGGAACATGTTACATTGTACACACCCTCTAAGCAAAATATATCTTCTCCCTGTCTGACATATGATCATCCCATGGACCCATGCTATCTATAGCCCCTCATGCATTCAAACTCATGCTTTTGAAACTTCATAAGATAATACAACTGATTATGAATATTAATAAAGAATAATAATACAGATACATAATATTTAATAATGAAATAATATTAAAAGATGAAATTTTGAATCTTCAATGCTGTTTTTGAGATTTCTCTGGGTCGCCGTGACAACGGCGTTTGTGTACAGGCGAGCGGGCTGAGTTGCCGGCTCGTTGACTGCAATAAACACATTTTGAGTCGCCGTGATAACGGCGTTTAGATGCAGGCGAGCGGGTTGTATTACCGGTTCGTTGGCTGCATAATACTCGCCTGCAGTAACCATGGCAACGGGGACTGGCAAGGCGGGAAACTTTGACGGCGGTCTGGCCGCGGCGGGACTGGTCCGTCTTCTCTTTCCTAGGCTTGCTAGGAGGACTTTGCGGGCTCGGGTTTCAGCGCTATCCTCGGCCGGGGTCCCTGCGGGGGAGGCAAGCCGTGGCGGCTGTTCGAGCGCTTTCTAGGGCAGCCGCCCTGTCGTTGCTGCGAAGGCGGAGGTTGAGCTGGGCGCTGGGCGGAGCTACGCGCAGGCTGCTCACGAGGACGGCGTGCAGCTGAGCTCGAACGACGAGGCAGAAAGAGATTCATGGCCTGAGTCGTTTTCTGCACCTCTGAGAAGCGGTCAACGATACCGTCAACCGCTGGGCCGAAGAGGCCGGTGGGGGAGAGCGGGGCGTTGAGAAAAACCGCGCGCTCTGACTCTCTCATGTCCGCGAGCGTCAACCACAGGTGCCTTTCTGTGACGGTCAGCGAGGACATACATCTTCCCAGGGCCTGAGCAGCGGATTTAGTGGCGTGAAGGGAGAGATCCGTCGCGCTCCTTAAATCCGTGAGGGAAGCCGGATCCGGGCCTCTCTCGTCCAGTTCACGGAGGAGATCAGCTTGGAGGATCTGGAGGACTGCCATCGAATGCAGAACTGAAGCGGCCTGTCCGGCGGCGGAGAAAGCGCGGCCGACGAGGGCTGAAGTGGTTCTGAAGGCCTTAGAAGGGAGCGCAGCCTTTGAGCGCCAACCAGCGGGCGGGCAAAGGTGTGCTGCTACCGCTTCTTCCACTGGGGGGATAGCGGTGTATCCCTTCTCGGCGGCGCCATCAATCTGAGAGAGCGCCGAGGGGATGTGAGAGCGGACTCTGGCCGAAAACGGAGCGTTCCACGACTTGGAGAGTTCCGCGTGGAGCTCTGGCAGGAAGGGTGCAGTCCTGGATGCAGGCACTTGACGGCGGTGAGAGAGAAAGCAGCCGTCGAGTCGGTTAGGCGCGGGCTCCTTGGGCGTCGACAGCTTTGGTGAGGAGGCGCATAAGCTCGGCATCCACGCCGGCGCGAGTCCGGCCGGATTCCTGGATCGACGGGGCGGAAGAGAGGTGCGAACCGGACCGATCCTCGCAGTCGGATGCCAGGATGGAACAGCTGTCAGCGGCATCCCCCACTAAAGAATCCGCTTCATCTCCTGAGGCTTCTCTGTCTCCGCCCGCGCCGGAGACAGAGAAGGGACGGAGACAGAGAAGCCCGAGGGAGAGGTTCCGGCGGGCTTTTGGGTTCAACGTCCGTTTCCGGTGGTCTCTGGGAACGGCGCTTCTTTCTGCGCGGTCCCACAGAGGCGGAAGGAGTGACAGCTTCCTCGTTGAAAGCTTCAAGCCGAGCCCGCAGGGTCGACATTGAGAGCTCTTCGCACTCGGGGCAGCCGCCCAAGGCGAGCGCGGTGGCTGCGTGCTCGCGGCCCAGGCAGAGAGCGCAGATGAGGTGGCGGTCTCCGGCGCTGAGCGAGGCTTTGCACGAGCGGCAAGAAAAACGAGGCATTTTGACAAAAACGGCTCGGCTCTTTTAGAAATATAGCAAAACACAGTAGTGAAAAAGGATATCGACGCCGGATAGCGTAGCAGGCATGGATGGCTGAAGGTGGCGAAGACGGCCGGCTTCCTCAGACGCTTCCTAAGCTTGCTGGTCGCTTGATTCCAACGGCGGCGGCTTTCAAGATCCAGCGATGCATAGAGCACGCTGAAGAGAAGAAAATCAGAGAATCAGCCTCTGAGCCTCCCCTTTATACACGTAGACACACCCCTTTTGGCGGGCTGTGACGCGCGGAGGGCACGGAGTGTCCTCATTGGGCGTGACGTCACGCCAGGCTCATGGAAAGGCTGCTGCAGTTGCTGCGAGGCAGCCAATAAGCACGCTCCCTTAGCCTGCTTTGGTCTGCTGCCTGCTGCACTGCGTTGACAAAGTGTGAAAAATTAAGGATAATTTTTGGCTTCAGATCTCGAGAAAAGATAACTTTACCCGTAGCGTAAGTTACTTACGCAATACGAGAGAACCTCTCGTAAGAGAACTTAAGTTCTGTACAGTTTATTTTTGTAATCGAAGTTAAATTAAATGAGGTATTTTATTTATTTTTAAATGAGAAAACTAAGTTGTGTACAGTTTATTTAAATGAGATGATAAACATTATTTTTGCTCCATTTCTGTGCATTGCTTATTTTTAACAATTAACTTGATGTGTTGGAATATGAAATAAAAAGAAATAGGTCTGGACATTGCTTTTTTTTTTAAAGCTGCAGTCCGCAGCTTTTTTGGTTTAATTATCCAAAATATATTTGAGTGCACAACCAGCCAGTGTTCAAAACTATCTGCTTGCCTTAGCTCGTTTCAAAATGGTAAGCTTGTAATAGTGTTTTTAATTCCAGTGGTACTGGTGGATTTCCGCGGGAAAATCGAACATGTCTTTGCGTCATTACGTCACATCTGTACGTACACAAAGAAGAGTCTCGGCTAGTAGGCTATATTGCGTGTGAGGATGCTGGAGGTGGAGATTTATAGCCTTTTCTCACAGCACTTGATATAATCAAACTTATCAATTTGATGGCGGATCCAGAAAGGTTCAAACGACAATCACCAGAGAAAACTGGAGATTCACCTGCTGTAAAATGCAAAAGACTTCGTTAGGACTTCGGAGTGGCTACAGAAAAAAAGAGACCGCAACCAGGCCCATGCGACAAACAAGGATACATATCGGAAGGACATTACATGTAGTCACGCAATGCTGACATTAACATTAACAATTTGAGAACAAAGTATAATTTGCACAGTTTTACGTGATATAAGCGATTGTTAGATTTAGAACCAGAACAAAAGTGGATGTTACTTGTTCAGATGACATTTTCTGGTGAAATTTATGTTGGTCATACTTCCAAAAAGAATAATCTGTGATTCTGAATGCCAGTATCCACACCGGCGCGGCGACTGACAGCTACACACTCTCCTCAAACATTGTGTTCATCCGCGCTGTGCCGTGTCGAGGCACAACTCACGTAAAGTTGATAATTCCGCGAATGACTGCAATTGCAGATTTCGAACAGAGATGGCGACAAAGAGGAAACACTGCGGACTGCAGCTTTAAATGACATGTGCAATTTGGGAAAAAAACAAGTGTTATCTTGCATACTTGTACTTAATGTACTTAAGATATCAAGAGTAAAAGTAAATGTATGTATTATACATAAAAAAACCCTCCTTGTCAGGGTTTTAAGATATGATGTTGCATTAATATTACTGCTGCGCTATGTCTATGTTGCATTTTAATTCTGAATATGTTGAAGGGTGTTATATTTAAAGTACTTTACTGTCGAGTAGTTTACTATACAACAATGGATCATATTGTAAATGACGATGTTTTTGTAGTGTTGCTGTCCTGTGTGAGAGAAAAAACCCTCATTACTTCACATTTGTACATGAATATTTAATGAATGTACTTGCTTACAGTAAACCACAGCTTATTTTTAAAATGATTTATTTTCACAATATTAAGGAATTGTTGCTAACTACAGATGCGTCCCATTTCAAAGGCTGCATCCGAAGGCGAGCGGGAGTACCGTTGCGCTGCGTTGCAGGATTGTAAAAAAAAAAAAGAAGGTATTTCACTTTATTTATTTATTGTTTTGTGTGTTATGCTTCAACTGCGTTAAAACAAAACACGCTAACATGCCTTGATCATGATCTTATCACCATGATCAAGAGACTAAACGGCATAAAAATCGCATCTTCGTAAGGTAGGCTATAAATGAACATTTGAACAGCTTTATGTGTATTTTGTATTTTCATAAGTATCATTACATTACTCAAGTACACCCAATACTGCAGCAATTAAGGACGCAACTTCTGAATTGGGATGCAGCAAACCAGATTACCTTACCTGGCCACGGTCTTGACCAAGCCGGAGATACATCACCCGGCGGCGCCGGGGATGAAACATCCCAACTACGGCATTACTTGTTAAAATGGAGCAAGAACTCATAATTTAGATTTTTATCTTTTATGTTTTATTGGAGGAGAAACATAAAAGATAAAAATCTAAATTATGAGTTCTTGCTCCATTTTAACAAGTAATGCCGTGTAGGATGGCAGCTCTCCTGTCACAGCGTTGCTAGGCGACAGCATAATGGGGAACACCTGGTGGCGCAATTATATATCCTACGAAGGCAAGACTCGGAGCGTCCTTCGAAGGCTGGGTAGGCTGGGTCCTTCGAAGGACGCAGCCTTCACATTGGGACACAGCTATTGT